GAGAGGCGAGAAACCCGGCCATGGCTTCTGGTCCATCGCATCCCCACACATCTGCCTTGTGCCATCTAGCCTCAGGCTGGCACGCAAAGCGCTTTACAAACCTCTCCCTACTGCAGCAGACTTCTTAGTTCGCTGCCAGGCCACCTCCGGCACCATCTGCCCGAACATTAGCCACCAAACCGCAGGGCCAGTGCCTCCTACCTGGCCAGGAAAGTTCTGTCAGCCGGTCAAAACCACAGCCGGCATTTGGGAGACATCTGAGAAGCTACGGCCCATCCTGTTGAGGCCAGGCCATTCACTAAAGTTTTGCCAGAGTAGCCCTGTCAGGCAGGGCTGTGAAAAAAATCCAGACCCCTGACGCAGCCCTGCTGTCAAAACCCACCACGTGCTAAGCCAGCACCTTTCCCAGCTGATGTCGGCTGAGGCGGTGCGTCCACCATCCCGGCCAAAGCGCTCTTTGTGCTGCTGCGTTCGCCTTTCGCGTGTAGCCTCTCAACTCCCTCACGCAGCAGGAGCGGAGGGTGCGCAACCACCTCACAGGATCGGGGCCCCTGGACGAGTTTGGACTCTTGGGTGCCTCCAAACTGCGTCCGTCAAACGGAAGATCAGCCAGGCAGAGGGCGAGAAACAAGATTTCTTCCCCCAGACGAAAAAAGCCGATTGGCAGCACACCCTACAGGCCTAAAAACTGCCTCCAGCCCCCGCCAGCCTTCGGGTGAATACACCAGCCACGTGGAGGAGGAAACGCCCCCTCTTCCTGCCACCGAGAGCCCCTGCCCACAGACTGCAAGCTGTTTGGGGCAGGGACCCACCATTCTGCGTTTGTACAGCACCTGGCGCATCGAGGCCCCCAGTAATGAGCCAGGGACAATGTTCCCTCTATTTTTTCCATCCCTGTGAAGAATAAATTGTGTTGTGTGCACCGAGGCATGTGCAGATGTGCACCACCAATCGAGAGACATGCTGGTGGTTACGGGCAGCAGTGGGTGCTCTGCCAATCAGGTGGGTGGCCGCAGAATCTCTCCTGGGCAGCCATCCAAGCATTCAGCTGACTGGGAATGCTGGCCGGGGCCCTAGGCGCCACTGCCACACAAGTTGAGTAACAATCATATAATAATAGTATCCCCAGCTGCTAGGAAGAGAGAAAGCTGGGCAGCACTGCTGGGAGGAGGAAGAGGGGGGAGTTCTGCAGCTCCAGCCATGCCTCCTCCAAATGTATTTATTTTTAAGCCCTTTTCCTCCATGAACAGTTCCAGGAGACGCCCCTGCTCTTCGCAGCTTTTCCACGCAGCGGCAGCAGGACCCAGCTGTTGCGTGTTCCGCTGCCGCTCTGCCTACCAACAGCAGCGGCGCATGTGAGACGAGTCCCATTAATGCCGTGGGGCCGGACTCAGAGCAGCGGGGCGGCCGGCAAACTCGAGAAGGCGGCGCTGCATCGGGAAGGCGAGCTCGCTCTACACGAGGAAATCACATGGCGCGGAAGCGTCTGGTGCCCCTCCCCATCCAAAAGGAATTTCTTCTTCACCAGTGGGTCCTTCTGAATCTAGTCTCCTACCGTTCCACTGTGCCCATCTTAAATCCATTGCAGGAACTCCCTTGGCTTTCCACCCCCAGCCCCATCTCAGACCGGCACAGCAGAACAGTGGCACAATTCCATCTAGGGCAGTGGTTCCCAAACTTTTTGGCATCATGCCCTCCTTTTTGATTTTTGAAAAACCCTCATTCCCCCCATAGCAGCAAAATTTGTCGAGCAAAAAAAAAAAAAAAAAGGAACTGAACAGGGCAGCAAAACTTGATGGGGGGCAGGGAGGCTGGGTCGCCTCGTGCCCCCCCTGGAATTTCTTCACACACCCCAATTTGGGAACCCATGATCTAGGGGCTCTAGTGACACTGCAAACTAGAGGAGTAAAAAAAATGTGCAGCAGAATTTATTTGTTTCCATAATATAAGAACTAGGGGCCACCAAATGAAATTAATGGGCAGCAGGTTTAAAAGAAATAAAGGAAGTTCTTCTTCACACTGTCAACCTGTGGAACTCCTTGCCAGAAGAGGTTTACCTATACCTATCTCATAGAACTGGAAGGGACTTTGAGAGGTCATGAGTCCAGTACTCTGCCCTCATGGCTCAAGTGCCATCCCAGATCCCTAAATGGCCCCCTTAAGGATTGAACTCACAATGCTCTGTTTAACACAGCAATATCCAAACCACTGAGCGATCCCTAGTCCCCTAGGTTGTGAAAGCTAGGACCATAACGGGGTTTAGAAAAAAAGCTAGATAAATTCATGGAGGTTAATACCCATGAATGACTATTAGCCAGGATGGGTAAGGAATGCTGTCCCCAGCTTCTCCTTGTCAGAGGACAGAGATGGCTGGCAGGAGAGAGATGGCTTGATCATTACTGTTTGGTTCCCTCCCTCTGGGACACCTGGTATTGGCCACTGTCGGCAGACAGGACACTGGGCTGCATGGAGCTTTGGTCTGACCTAGTCTGGCCGTTCTTATGAAGGGGCAGAAGAGGAAGAAGAGGAGAAATCAGAAATAAAAGCTACATTCATCTGAAGTCCAGGATTCACAATACTCAGCTCCAGATCAGTCCTTAACAGACAGTTTCTAAGCCCAATTACGTTTAATCCCCAGTGCTACAAAGAAACGTCACGTCTCTTCAAAATCCAGGAGCGCAAGCCTTCCAGAAGCACAAAGCATTTGCCCCCCCACTCCAACGGGACAAGCAGTAGTGATCCTTGCACGTAGCCTCTTTTGGGTTATTGCTCACAGTTCTAGCCACATCAATCTATAGTCATACAGAATGCAAGTTTCAGAGGCCTAAAGCACTCAGAAGTCTGTGAAATACTGACTGCAAAACACATGCTGGAATTCAAGCGAGGACGAAGGAAGTAAGAGAACCGGATTTTACGGTCTACTCTCTGACATACCACCGGGGCTAGGAAGAAATGGACCGATATAGATGCTTCCAACACTGGAAATCTTTTCTAAGCTCTGATTAGCCCAAGAGAGGAAACTTTGGTCCCTAAAACACAGGCATGACACCAGCTGAGGACTTGTAACTATCCAATTGGATCTTCTCTGGACTATAAAGTGATCAGTCGCATCAGCTATGATCAGAGATTACTTTGGTCTGGCTAATTTTTGCTACGTTCAGGTTTTATTAAAAACCAAAGATGTATGTGACAACAGGAGAGGGTTATAGGCAAACCCTCATCCTCTTCAACAATACTTAGAAGAGAGGTGGTTAGAGCAACAATATGCTCTGATTTCAAATGGGCAATTCTCAGACTCATAGAACACTAGAACTGGAAGGGACCTCGAGAGGTCATCAAGTCCAGTCCCCCGTCCCCACGGCAGGACTGAGCGCCATACATCATCCTTGACAGATGTTTAGCTAAACTGCTCTTCAATATCTCCAGGGATGGAGATTCCACGACCTCCCTAGGCAATTTATTCAGTGTTCAACCACCTGACAGTTGGGAACTTTTTCCTAACGTCCAGCCTAAATCTCCCTTGCTGCAGTTTAAGCCCCTTGCTTCTTGTCCTGTCCTCAGAGGCCAAGGGGAACAATTTTGCTCCCTCCTCCTGGTAACACCCTTTTCGGTACTTGAAAGCTGTTATATTCAAGGCTCTGTCTTATATAGGTCTCAATTACTGCCCTAGCCCCACCCCAATTTTCACACTTGCTATCTGGTCACCTTCAAGGTGGTGCCCTATAACTATTATTGTATCCTCACACACAGCAGTGGCAAGAGCTGGGATTAGAAATCAGGAATTTCAGTTTATAAGGCCAGAAGGAATCTCTGATGAGCAGCAGTGTACAACCCGCGCCGCGCCCCCCCCCCCCCCACCCCCCCCCC